TCACTACCTTTTTTTCTGTGCAAATTCAATACAAATTAGATTGAAAATTGAAATATTGTACTAAATTAATATTTTTTCTATTTTTATAACTATATTAGTTAAATGTAATACTTTTTTGGTATTTTTTAGGGAAGGGTCTACAGGATGCTCAAGGTCTCACTACTAGATCGGACTTGTAGTGATCCGCCTGTTTACAGCCTCCCAAGAGCTAGGATTACAGGTGCACGCCACCATACCCATTCTCAGTTGCCATCTTAGTGTGCTCCTGTGGCAGGGCCAGCACTGCAGGCCTGGGGATCAAACCACTGGCCCCTGTGCCTGCTTGCAGACACTTTAATGCACTGAGCTATTTGGCTAGCTCTCTGTGTAATACTTTTCTTTTAAGAGAGGTTTTCTTAGAAAAATATGTAAGAGCCACATGTTCAGTAACATTTTCTGAGTTATATAGCTCACAAAATACTTCATTATCCAAATAAATGGGCAGATTGACTTGAATAGGGCAATTATTTTGTTTCCTTTTTCTACTTAAACTCCAGGGCCAGGACTTTTCAGTTTCTTACACTTTAAAATTTACAATAAGAGCTGGGCATAGTGGTGCATGCCTGTAATCCCAGCACTTGGGAGCCTGAGGCAGGAGGATCACCATGAGTTTGAGCCCAGAGCAGTCCGAAGTATATAGCAAAACTCTTGTTTTAAAAAGAATACAAAACAGACAAATAAACAAAAAATAAAAATAAATAAATTTACAATTGCAGGAACATTGTAAATAGAGAACAAGAACAAATCTTATCATTTATAGATATAATTATAAATTTATTAATCAATTCAATTTTATCTTTCAAAAACTATAATGATGAATAAGTAACTTGGTTAACATAAATGTTGAATATTGACATTAAACTTTATAAAGCATATCCATGTTAATAATGTTGCTGTTCCCATGAAAATATTTCCCTTTTATTTAAAAATTGCAACAGTGATAGTAATTTCTGTCTCTGAACAATGTATCTGTGTACAGTCAATAGTTTCATCCAGTTGTCTATAGCTGGACAAGTAAGTATGAAGCCTGTTCTGAAATTATATATTCTAATATTAAACTATGAAAAAATATGCTCAGAGTATGTCAATCTAAATTCATAAGTGGTGATTTCCACAGCAAACTATAAAAAAAATATAGAATATTGCTTTTCTTGTTTTAATATTAACATTTCATATCAGAATAAGAGGAATATATGACTAATAAATAGACTCAAATTACATTTTAGTTCTTTGTTTACTGTCTTACAATAATATGAGCACAGTATCTCCATCCTAATGATTTTCAAGTTAAGGAATGACTTCAAATTAGGAAATATTTTTGTTCACCTAGTTTTGGAGGAGCATGATGTAAGCTAATTGCTAACTTTGCCTGCATTATTTTTTAAAGATCAAATGGGCACAGTGGTAATTTTCATTAATCTCATACAGAGCAGCTAATTAAAATTTCCATTATTATCCATCCATTATCTAGTTGTTTCCTTTGTTAGGTATCAGAAAAGGCTGTTAATAATAAGCCATTCTTGTATTACAGTCCTATTAAGTATAGAGAGATTTAGTTTAATCTATTGCACTGTTTTGTTTTTAAGTGACTTTTTAATATTATGTTGTACCACATTGAATATGTTGAAGATACTTTGATGTTTTGTAATAGAAAGTTTATAATTAAATACTGATTGATACATTTTTTCAGTATTAGAGAAAGACTGCATATAATGGGTGAAGGGGTGACCTAAGGACCAGAGTGTTTTTGTCCTTGGACTTCACATATTATACTTCATGGCAGTCACTTGTATTCTTTATTTCTATAATTAATACATTACAAGAGCTTGTCTTCAGGGGTGGGCCTAGCCTTAATATGCTATCATGTTTATGTAATTCTCAAATAGGAAATTCTATTAAATCCTTAAAGTTCTTTTATGCTTGCCAAAGGTATTTGTTATAGAAAGCTACATATTTTTCTGTGTTGCTCTATTAGATTTTCTGTTTTCACTCGTTACAATAGCAGAGTATACTAAATCATATATCTTAAACTTGCTTCTGAGACTAGGATAGGTGGTGAGCTCCAGGGTGATGGGATAACCAAATTTTCCATAAGCAATGTCTCAGTCCTGATATACATTTTTATGAAATGAATTCTATGGATGTCAATTAGAGGAAAAAGTAATATTTTCTGTGTCTTAAGGGTACACATGACATATTGTTTTAGGTAAATTGTATTTACATATATTGTCTTAATCTTACAACAAACATGATAGATTGATGTTTTCTATCCCTAGGTCACAGATGAGCAAGTAGGTTTATAGGGATTGGTTGTTAATGTGCTGAAGGGTTACTAGAAACTTTGACTCTGAGCTGTACCCAGCAGGTCATATAGTGTCCTAGTTTATCTGTTCTATATTCAGCATCTCTGAACAAATTTTAATTCAAAGTCTCAGAACCTATAATATGCTGAAGCAAATTGAAACTAAGCTTAGAAGTTTTACCATATTGCAACTCATCTGTCATTCCCACAGTTCTCTCCCTGTCTGTCTCCCTTTCTTCCTAGACATACATCTTAAATGTTTACTGTATACTGAATACTTTTTTGGGAGCTGTGAACCCAAAGGTGAATAAGTGAAGCAGCACTCGTGACTTACAGAATTTATGTTCTAGTGGAAGGTGTGATAAACAACTTAATTACCAAGCAAGTTAAGCTTATGCAAAGCTAATACTGTAATTGAGATCTAAAATGTGAGGATAAGAGAGTTTTGGATTGAGACTTAAATGAGGCAGTAATGGAGAGATTCTGCTAAGAGTCTTCCAGACATAGAAAATGGCAAAATAGAAAGTTCCATCTACAGGCCTCCAGGACAGGATCAGTAGGGATTGCTTTATTTATTAATTAGTCCAGTAGGTGTGAACATTGCATGAAAGTAGCATGTGATTATGGACTTTCAAACTTTTAATTCCTTGTAACTAGTAGTTTAGGAGTAGTATATCAGCAAATCATTCAATTAATTGTTATTGATGGGCTTTGCATTGTTGTAGAAAGTGAGTTGCCTGAGCAAAAATAAAAGTATAATTCCCAAATATACTATACACTAGTCCTTTGCTATTTTGCAGTTGGATTTTGTGGACTCACTGTTTCGCGGGTTTTCGAAAAATATTAACCTAAATTATTTACTGGGGAAATTTTTGGGATTTTGTAGTGCTGTACAGTATATGTATGTTGTTAAAGTTATGTAGGTTTATGGGTTTTTAAAATGTCTAAGAACATTAGAAGAACTTTTAAAAGTATGGTAAAGGTTTAAAAGAGTGTGGGAAGGGTTTATAAAGCCTAAATATATATAAAACTAAACTATAACGTCACTACTGCACTGATTGTAACTTATTGTGGGTGTGTGTGGAACATAATCTCTGTGATAAGTGAGGGACCACTATACAAATTTACCTGCTGTTACAATTTGATGAATTAAGCATAGATATATAGGAATGTAAAATCATTTCAATTACATCTCTCATTTACCATTCCATTTGTATGCTGATTCATTTACAAACTTTTATATCTACCATATCTCCTAACAACACAAGAAAAACCAAGTTAGTGGACATTGTACAAAATATGGGCACTAAAATGTGAAACTATACTTCCAGTTCTGGAATTACTATGGAGAAATTCCATGATAGCACTGTTGTTGGGCAGATTCAGGTACTTGTGTTAGAACTTGGCATACCTGGAGTTTCCAGTATAGAATGAGAAAGATACAAGTAAGTTTTACCATAATATTTTAAGTGCTACCATAGTGGTAGTAATCATATCACTATAAGCAAATAGATTGCCCTTATATGTTGGAAAGCTTTATCAGACAGTTGACAAGAGGTGCATTAGTGACTTTCCCATTACTGGGATGAAATACCTGTTAGATACAACTTGAAGAAGGAAAGGTATAGTTTGGCTTGAGATTTCAGCATATTCTGTCTGTGCATAGTTGGCTACCTCTAAGGCAGAAATGCAACAGCGAAAGGGCATAGTAAAGGAAAGCTATTCAACATATGGCAGCCAAGAAGCAGAGAGACAGGAAAGAGACAGGATGAGTAATATGTCCTTCACTGATATGGCCTTAGTGACCATATTGAGTATCATGCTCCAAGATCCAATCATCTTCCAAAAAGTACACCTCTGATTACAGGAGACTTTTGGGAAACATTTGAGATCTAAACCATAATAGGAAACATTCTTCATAAGGGTCAAATTGAGAATATATCTGCAGTAAAGAAGAATTTTTGATTTTGTTTAGCATGGAAAATATGAGTTATTAACACAGTGAATGTGTTGATGGTGAACTTCTCGCAGCCTTTTACCTGAATTGCATATATGCTTCTTGGGAGGTGATGAAGCTAAGGAGCTATGGTGAGATAATAAGTTCTAGAAATAACTACTCATATATGAGAAATTAAAAATGCATCGCTAGCTGATAAATGTATTTAATGACTTTAAAAATTACAGCATGGAAGTAACAAGGATTAGTTGTGAATTACTGAATGGTTTACACTGACTTGATCAGCATGCTAATTGCATAATATCTCATTTTATGTTTTAATAAAATAATTAGGTGATTTTTGTGATATAGTCATACTCTGATATCTTGCAACAGATTTAGGTACCATATAATGTTTTACATTACATTCTTTTTCACTTTGAGGAACTGAATATGAATATGTTAACTAGGAAAGTGAGTAACATTATTTTTTAAATTTTTTCATTTTCTAGGTTAAAGATGAGTAGCTAATATTACTCCTAATGCCTGCTTGTAAGTTTAAGTGTCCTCATCAATGACATTTTATGCAATTTAAATCCATATTCTATTCTGTGAGCACTACCAGGGTAATTTTCTTTTCAATGTGGATGAGCAGAGCACAATTTTTTCAAGTATTTTTTAACTTGCTTCTTGTCTAACCTAGTGTCTTTTTTTATTTTTTAGGGTGGGCTGAAAAACAGCAAACATGAATGTACCCTGTCTTCACAAGAATATGTTCATGAATTACGATCTGGTATTTCAGATGAGAAACTTCTTAACTGCCTAGAATCTCTGAGAGTTTCTTTAACGAGTAATCCTGTCAGGTAGGTGGTTCTTAGCATTTTGGTATGATTCATACAATTTGTGCTATGTTTGGGAAAAGGGTCATTTACATTATTTTAACTTCAGAATTTTCTGACTAGAAGCCTGATACTAGATGACACAACTGCAGTATTTGATTGTCAGATTGTATTTAAAATATATGTAGTGAACTTGGTCTTCAATATGTGTACTTTTAAAGAATCCCAATATTACTTGAATGTTTAATTCCTCTTTGCTTGTATTAAACCAGAAGTTACATTTCCACATTAACATGGAAATCTATTTGTGTGTTCAGATACTTATTACTAGATACCGATTTACAAAATAAATTAAATATATTCACTCTATATTTTTAATTTTTAAACTTCAAAGGTATGTATGATTTCATTTTCTGTATGTTTTAGCTATATTATTCATATATTTCTCTAAATTTTGAGATAGCACACACTAAATCATTTCAGCCAGTAAACAAAATGAAACAGAGATCGTTACTAGATCTTTAAAACTATACAGTTTAACTGTTAACTCATTATTGGTTATATTGGCAATGGGTATGTTACTGTTCTCAGCTCATACATCTTGGCCAAATCATTGGAACGTGAAGGACTTGGGAAGAAATAGAAAGGCAGCCAACTTTGAACAATTACTGTATTCCGAACTGAGTCACATATAATCAGTTCTCACCTTTTTGTTATGAAGTTATAACTGGCACTCTTTTTACTAAGTCTACTATCAATGTAAATATGACATTTTAAAATTTATACATAAATACAAACTGAATAACTGACTAAATTCTTTTGAAGGTTGTACATACAAATAAAAAAATGTACAAGTCTTAAGTCTACAGCATATTAAAAAATCACAAATATAATGATTATGTTTTTTATATATTAACTTAGCAAGTAAATTCTGAACTAGATGTTGGCTGCGGGTGCTGGTCACACCTGTAATTCTAGCCATAAGCAGGCTAAAGCTGGAGGAGCCCAGTGAGTTTGAGACCAGTCTGAGCCTCATAGTGAATTCAAGGCCAGCCTAAACTACATAGTGAGACCCTGTCTCAAAAATAATAATAACAATAAGAGTAATATATATTTTTTGATACAGGGTCTCTATACACAGCTTGGACTCAAAGTGATCCTCCTGTCTCAGCCTCCCAAGTGCAGGGATTACAGGTGTGCACCACGACACTTGGTTTCGCTATTTGCTAGGGGTTCTGGGGCTGGCACTGCATGTGGTACCGGGGATTGAAGTTGTGATCTTGTGCTTGCCAGGCCGGTGCTTAGGTCACTGAACTATCTCCCCAGTGCAATAGTAATAATCAATGCTGTAGTATTTGAGCAGATCTTAACGGCATTTTGCAAGTACACTGAAAATATTTTTCCTTAGAAATAATTTGATTGTGCTATTAATTTGAAGTAACTTTTGTCATAACTTTCCTTTGTAAAAGAGGACTCACGCATTCCAATAAGTTCTTTGGTATGGTTGATTAAAATTTTGAAGAAATGGCTTGAAGTTGTGATATTTAGAAATGAAGGGGGAGAATAGTATAGTTTTTATTAGGAAAAATGCAGTTTTGTAATGTTGGTGGGAAAGGTTTGAAATTATACATAGTTCCTTTAAGGAAGTGGAACTCTGAAAGTTTATGGGATCAGCTGACAATTTGGCAGGTGTTGATGGGCTGGAGGCTTCCACTCTCTGGTAGCTGATTAGTTCCCTGGGTATCAAGAGGCATGTGCATCATCAAACATTCCTCAAGTTCTAGTGGAGCTCTGAGGTAGATTGTGAGGAGACCTGGTGAGTCAATCCACACCGCTTCCTTGCCTTCACTGAACCTTAAGATGAAAAAGAGTGTGTTTGGCAGCTATGGCAACATCTCTGTTGGATGGGCTAGTGAGAGCAATAACCAGCTGTCTGAAGTAGACACAGGCCCTGCTGTGAAGATCGTAAGATCTAGATCCTGAATCCAGACCACAATACCTCGTTGAGTGAGCCAGGTGTTCACCTCCACTCTGGTTGGCAGTGTGTCCAAGATTATCAGGGACCTTGAGATTTCACAGTTCTCTATTGTGGGGATAAACAGGCATGCAGAGAGTGGTCCAAACTGTGTTCTTTACAAAAGTAATGACATGATTCCTAAGCCAATTGAGGCCCACCAGAAGCTGGGCAGAGAGAAAGCCATTTGGGGTGTGAATCCACTGCCAGTCCAAGTATATGCCAAAGTGTTTGGTGTCCTCACGAACTCTTGGAGAGCAAAGATTCTTGAGGTGTTGAAAACTTGCATCCTTGAGGACATTAACCAGTTCACCAAGCACATTGTGGATGTAGTCAGTTCACATATGATGCTGGATAAAGCGCACCAAGAGTCCACTGAGGAAAGTGTGCTTGTGGCCCCATCACAAATGGATGACACTGCTGTGATGCTGCGGTTCATGACCAGTGTCATTTTAACTTCATCCTGAGGAAGTGCAGTGTTTGATTCAAGAGTTCCCCCTACTGGAAAGGAAAAGGGTCGCTGAGCTGCAGACAACTCTGCACAGTTGAGTGTCAAGGCTCTCTGGCAAGCAATTGATCACCTGACCACTGAGGACCACATTTATCCTACTGTCGATCGGGAACATTTGAAATTCACTGGTTGAAGTAGTGGAAACAACTTTTCATTTTCCGAAGATCCTTGCCTCCAGCTGTGAGTAATTTTGACCTGTTGACTTTTCGGAAGTAGGATTTTCGACAAAAATCTCAACTGGCACCCTCTGACATCTTTTCTAAGTGCTTTGAACTTTCCTGATTTTCTAAATATATTTGAAGCTCAGAGGGAGACGAGAATGGATAAATTGACTGGAGTTTGTGGAATTTATCAGCAAGATAATGAAAATACTCTATAAACGATGAATTTTTAAGAGAAAAAACTACAGAAAAAAATAGCACTATGTTATTGTGCGAGAGTTTCCTTTTGAAATATCTATATCTGTATATTTAAAAAAGCCAACTGGATGTCAGAGAGCCAGAGAAAACACGAGAAAATAAAAAAAAGTTTAGATTTTATTTATTTTTATACCAGTCTTATTTTTCATGTTTGAATTTAGCTTATTATGGTCATATTAGTATTTCTTCCTAGATATAGTAATCGATTAATTTACATGTGCTAAAAATAGTAGCTCATAATTTCAAATGCAGTTGAAGTGTGGTGTGATTTACTCTTATTACTGTAGATTCATGTTATCTTCAAATAGATTATACTGTATTTAAATAATTTTTGTAAAGTTAAATTTGTTTTTCTTAAAATGTCTTGACATTTAATGGTTTTCAAATATGAAATATTTGGAATAAATATCCGCTATGATTACATAATACATGAATGCCATATGTTCCCTAGGTTTCATGTGCTAGTGTATTTTCTGTATTATTAAATGCTCAGTTTTATGTAAAGTGGTAGCTTACTTAGAGGTTAGGGAAACAAACGATTATTATATGGATATAAAGCTTTGTAAGTTTATGAGAAATTTATTCTAATGTTTTATTACAGTTTTAAAAATTGTAATTTTCCTATGTAATTTTTTAAGTACATTTTAGTGCTTTATATCCTTAAGGTTCAGAAGTTTTTTTTATCCAGAATAAATTGATTCTCATCTTTACATAATACCAATAGCATGTTAGTCTTAGTTTTAGTACATGTTAGTATACATTGAATTTATTATGTGAGACTTAAATCAATAACCATTAAAGTAAGCTCTTAGTTACTCAGTCTCTCTTGAAACTATATCCATAGTTTTTAGGGCTGGCCAAATAGCTCAGCAGATTAAAGCGCCTGCAAGCAGGCTCAGGGACTGGGGGCTTGATCCTCAGGCCTGCTCTGTCGGCCCAGTCTGTGGGGCGTGCTGAGATGGCAATTGAGACTGGGTGTGGTGGCGCATGCCTGTAATCCCTGTTCTTGGGAGGCTGTAAACAGGCAGATCACTATGAGTCCAATCTAGTAGTGAGACCTTGAACACCCTGTAGACCTTTCCCTAAAAAAATACAAAAAAATTCTAGTTTTGATAATTTTAGAGGGAATAAATATGAAAATTTTGAATATATGTATATATACATAATTTTTCATTTATACAAGTGTGGTTGTGAACATGCTCCTCTGTGTGTGTTGTGTATTTGTGTGTTCAGCCTACTAGAAGAGAAGAAAATGACTTGTGCTAATTGGGCCAAACAAAGAAGGCACCAAAATAGTAGATGATCTCTTACATATATACTATTACCAGTAATTTGTACTGCCAAGAAAAACCATTACAAAATGACCTCTTGTTGCCAATCTTTTTGAAAACTAACTGCTATTGCTAGAAATTAAAACTATGATCTTCACACTGACCTATTTCTCTAGCCTCTTTATAAAATTCTTTTGAGATAAGGCCTCAGTGAATTGCTGAATTGCCAAGCCTAGCTCAAACTTGATGTCTTTATGCTTCCGTCTTCCAGACAGCTGGGGTTAAAGGCACATACTTTCATACCCAACTGTCACTATTTTACAAATGAGCAATTTAGGTTCAGATAAGGTTAAGTAATTTGCTCCATTATAAGCTTATGTGCCTAGTCATTGCCCACACTGCAACAGAATTGGCACCTGACCCCTTTGAGCTACTTTGCATTGTCTTACAATGAAGAAAGTCTATTAAAATATTTTCCTTTTCCTCTTAACTATTTTATATTTATTTCTTTCATTAAAACTTGTTTAACTTGAACAAAAAAACTATGGAGTTTTTAACAAAATGATAAAATATATAAAAGAGAATTTTGTACGTACCTTCTAGCTTAACAAGCAAAACTTTATTTTTTTATATACTTATCATGATCTTAGTTGTATAATGCAGATTAACTTTTATTTCTTAGGGGTTGTATAACAAATGCCAAAAACTGAGTAGTTTGCTCAAGAACAACTTGTTCTTTCACAGCCATAAATCTGAATCAAGATGTCATCAGGGCACTTCTTCTAAAGACTCCAGCACCGGAGTCTTCC